CCGTATTTAGAAATTAAAATGTTGAATATGTAGTACCTACTATAAGAGGAGATAAATTTGAATTTTATGACATCACATGCAGAACAAAATAGAATACTTGAAAAAAAATTTGATTTAATTTTTTTAATAGCCGATTTAGGTATGTTTGCTGATAACGATAGTATCACCAAAAGATACCATTGTCTATAAAACGCTAACATATTCCATCTATTTTGAAGTTCATTGCTATTTCTCTACAAAGTGAGCACTTTGTACTTTGATACCTATAATAAGTACTTCTTTTTTTTTCCAGTAATATAATTTTCAGAATGCGTGCCTGAATATGTAATTCTGGTAATTACAGGTTATTACTATAAATAGGAAACTACGAATTTTAATATATACAATTTTTTTTTGTGAGATACCTGCAAGGTAAGTACGTAAAAAAGTTATTTAAAAATATTTTTTTTCTGTGCTAATTTAGAAAAAAAATCCGAGAAAAAGATTTTAAATATACGTCAACAATTTTATATATTTTAATAATGCTGAAACTGTCTAATTATATTCGAATAGAGTTATCCTGAGTTTTGTTTTTTTTTTATTCCTTCCTATATTTTGTTTATCTAATTTTTTCGTTCAATATACTCTAAGGGGCGTTGGATATTACTTCGATATCCTTTTTTAAACTTTTCTGTACATCGATCTCATTATTTTTAGTTTTCTTATTATCTTACCTCGTATTTTTCCAATTTCCTCAATTACATTTATCCATTTCATTCTAGTTCTGCCTCTTTTTTTCCTTTTGTTTCTTTTTAAGTTTTTAACTAGCTTACGTAATCTAGGTTAGTGTGTAATTATTCAATAAAATTTATACGGATTTGAAAAATACATGTTTTAAAAATATTTTTGAATATACAGAATGTTGCGTGCTTGCTTGACAAATAAAAATGTATATTTTTTTAATTAGAACATCCTGTTTTTTATTTTAGAATGATTTAGTAATACTTTATTTAACTAGAAAGATTTTAAAAAATATTACAGGTTTGCCAAGCAATTAATTTTTTTATGAAATTATAAAATTAAGGTAACTGCACCAATAATTGACACTATTAGACGCTGATTTGTATTAAATAATTATTTTTACCAATAACAAAAAAAATTAAGCATATAATACGATTTTTTCTTGTATTATTTTCTTGAGTTCATGTATTTTTAGTTCTAATAATTTTGCTTTTCATGAAATAAATATTATAAAAAAAGTGTTTTGAAGTACCAGTCATTGACACTTGATTTTTTTCATGTACCAGTAATTCACACACCAATTATTGACACAAATTAAGGAACATTTTTTTATTATACTTTTAATTTTGAATAAATAAATATAAATAAACAGCAAATTCATAACACAAAAAATAAAAACAAAAAATGAAAATTTATGGGTGCTTTAGGCTTCAAAAATATCAATATTTTTTGAAAATACATATTTTATTCTGTCGCCGACATTGTGAAGTTCCGGTTGAGATAACTTTTTTTATGATATCTTCTATCTTGATTGTTGAAATATCACTATCAACAAGTTTAAAGGTAGTCGTTTCATTTGTTGATTTAAGGGATATAACTTCAATATCGTTTCGGGAATATTTCTTCTGAACCACACAGATATACCTATAAAAAAGTTTTTCTCTTTCCTCCTAAGAATTTCGCTAAAATAAAATCTCCTACATAGATATCGTCGTATTTGATTGGTATTTCGTTCTCTTCTTCATTTTCTAAATTAATACTGACATCATCAATACTGTCTCCACTTTCTATCCATTCTTCAGTTTCGGATGAATTGTCAAAACTTTCCCTCTTTACTGACTTAGCCTTGTTTTGTATTTTTATAATTTTTTCTTCCCTTTTTCGCTTTCTCTCTTCTGCCCGTTTTTGTTGTTGTTCTTGTTTTCTCTTTTTCTCAGAATCCTTTTTATGTGGTATTTTGGCCAAATTTCTGACGTAATAGCACAAGGAATTTGCTCTTTATTCTTTTTTTTTGAGTTTTTTACTTCTTCCGGCCAAAACAAGGCTCTTTTAAATGGAGTGGGAACTTCTTGTTTCTTTAAAGATAATACATTGAACGGCGTTGTATTTTCCAATGAATTTAAAGGAGATCTATCACTTTGTGATATAGTAGGAGGTGTAATATTGACATCAGAATGTATAACAATTTTTAATGGGGTCATATCAGAATCAACTCTTTGTTGTTGAAGGCCAGAAGGTCCTGGTCTCGAGTTGTTTAATATGTTTTCTACAAGATCATTTTCTTTCTTGTTGCAATTTTGGTTCTCACTTTTATTTATGTTTTCTAATGGTTCAACACCTAAATCGGATTCTGTTTTATTTTTTTTTTCATTGTGTTTCAAAACAATGTTAATTTTTATAATAAAACCATCAAAATTTTGGGAAAAAATGCGTCGTAAGTATAGGGAATAATAAATAAAGACATTTTTTTAAATAATTGTTGTTATAATAAACAGAGTATTGCATTTGGACAAAGCAGCTATCTATCAATTAAGCACTGTTGGGACACCCTGTATATGTGTCATAGGCTAACATTTTGGTATCGTTGGATAAGTAAATTCATAACAAATTGTTGCTAAAATAATATACAGAGTATTGAATTTGAAAAACTTGAGTAATTTGAAAATTAAAATGAGCCATATTTATTACATATGTTTCGAAACACTGTATAAAATGAATCAATTGTATCATAACTATTATAAAAAAAAATAATTGCCTGGCAAATTTGTAATATTTTTCATTTATATTTTAACGCTGAATCCAGTATTACTAAAACATAAAATACAGGGTGTTCCATTTAAAAAATTGCATGGCCATCCTGTTCAAACCAGTTTCTATGATCTAAATTGTTGTGTGTTCCATTTAAAAAAAAAAAATGCGATGACGTTATCACATGAAGGTAGTTCACTCTGTATAAAAAATTATTATTTTAAAATAAAAATATTTTAATAATTTAATTCACAAAAGTCTCAAAAATATACTTGTCGCTTTAATTCTGCTGCAATCAGGAAAGGGCCCACTTAGGACATTAGGAACAGACGTACCAAACCTCATCTTGACCTGACACAGAGTTCTTCTATTCGATATCTGTATCTGTAACGTGTGGAGGGTGAGTTACCCCACGGTACATAGGCCTCATTAGGCCCATTGTGCATTCTCCTGAGAAGATAGATATCTCCTAGCTTGTGAGCCAGCCTATAGATTTAATGTAGTTGACAACGTCGCCAAGAGGTGCTTCTCTTATATCGGCCGGTGTTAGCCGATACTCGCCGAACATAAATCTTCTAATAAATAAGAGCGTCGAGCAATCGTAAAGGATATGCTCAATGCTCTCATCTTCTTGTTCGCATCCTCTGCAGAGTGCGGATTCTGACAGCCCCATGATATGGAGACGCTTTCGTACTTGGCAATGACCAGTCAGAATGCCTGGGCCCAGGCGCAGATTCTGTCTAGTCATAGTCAAGTATTTGTTTGCTGCAGTGTTGTCAGGATAACTCTGCAGTTTCTTGTTTCATCCCATATTTCCTTGAATTTCAAAAGGGAATGTTCTTTGATTAAGTCTGTCACTATCGATTTTGTCAGGCCAATAGAAGGGCTTCTATTCTATATCTCTTACATATTCGTTAGTATTGTTTTCTTCCATATAACTGATTAATATAGAGGAATCAGAGGGCTCTTTTCTATGTTTCTCTTTTAGTTCCTTTTTGGAATTCCTTCTTATTTCACTGTTTAACTTTCTTTTTTGATTGTCTGCTCTTATATTCTGATTATCTCCCTTTCCTTTTCTTCTTTATTTTTCTCTACTCCTTCATTTTCTAAATAATTTTTTACAGGAACGTTAGTTATAAGCAAATACAATAACTTCTTCCTTATGTTTTTTCTTTGTAAGATGCAAGAGACAAAGATGATTTTGCATAAGATGGTCCAGCTTCGGCACTGTTCAAGTTAGCTGAGGAAGTATTTTGCGATGGTCATAAGTTAGTGTTAATTACAGAAACTTTAGGTTCTTTTTAGTAACTAATGACTCAGAATCATCAAATATTTGAGAATTTACTAAAACCAAGTCATTTGTTATTAAACCTCGCATATTTTTATTGTGGCAAATTTGCCATAAGTAACATTAAATATTCCTGCTACATCTGTAATGACAATGACTTACCCTGGTTGTTGTATCAAATAATCATTGCATTCCCGACTATAAGCGACGTCCAGCGGTTGCATGGGATGACAGGTACAAAGAGGATAACAGCAGTGTAATATAGTTTGTAACGAATGATTGTCCATAAAGAAGTCTTACATTTTAATCGATATTTTCTTGCAACTGTTTTTATTAAATTTTTCATTAATATTTGCTACATCTTATAATAAAAAAATTAATTGAAATTTCAGATGTTGCTGACTTCATCGTGGATTCCAGATTTAGTACTTTTTCTTGCAACGATATCGTTGGTGTCATACTTGTATGCAACTAGAAAATTCGATTATTGGAAAAAACGCAATGTCCTCTACCAAAAACCTGTACCATTCTTTGGCAATTTCAAAGAAGTAATTACTTTGAAAAAACAAATTGGTATATGGTTAAGAGAAGCGTACAATGCAGCCAAAGATACGCCATATTTTGGAATGTTCGTCTTTGATGAACCGTATTTGGTATTGAAATCTCCGCAGTTGATCAAGCATGTCATGATTAAAGATTTTAACAATTTCAGTGATAGAACTGTTGCTTGTCCAGATCACAATAACGTTACAAAAAACTTTCTGTTTTTTATGAGAAATCCCGAGTGGAAAACTAATAGAGTTCAGTTGACACCGGTTTTTACTTCTGGAAAATTGAAGTATATGTTTCCGACTGCTGTTTTAGTGAGTAAGTACCTATACCTATTTTTTTACTTTAATTTTTTTTTTCGAATTGGTTGGACTAGCTAAAAAGTTTAAGTAAATAGGAATTTCATATTTATAAACTATTTTATGTTATTTATTTATTAGTTACTGTAATTTGTGTTCCTGGAGCTGTTAAAGAATATATTTAAAATATGATGAAGTGAATAGGGAAGGGGTAAGTGTGGAGTAAAAATTGGTTAATTATGTTAAAATGTACAATATATAAGTTCAACGCATTTCTGTCTTCGTATAAAGAGTTGTAAAAGAATGAGAATTATTTTCACAAAGTTTTTTTGTTAAATTGATATTAAAAAAAAAAGCTCCTGTACTACACACTTACCCCGATATTTTAAGCAGGTGTATCATTGTATTAAAACTGGGCATTTATGCAAAACTGCATTTTTTCTGTATTTTGGGTTTTTCATAATAAAAATAAAAGGTTTTATGAATTTTTTTATTAAGCAGAACAAAATTTATTTACCGTTTGTTGTAGAACCATTTCAATAACGAAGCATTTTGCAACGATGGTACCTTTGTTGTAAAATTAACTTGTTAATATAATTGACTCATCTGTGGTACTTTTATATATTTCATTTATATAAGTATCTATCAATTTGGCGTCTATGAATTCTTCTCTACAGTCTTTATTGCTGTTTTCGTCACATAACATTTCTTCTGGGGTGAATGAAGTTTCTGACGAGGATGTATCATCCACACTTTCTCGTGATTCCGACTGTTTTTTCTGCAGATGGTATAACTATCTTTTGGCGGGTTTTTCGCTTAGGGAGTTTTTATTAAAATTGTTTCTAATTGTTAAAAATGAATCTACATTGTGCTACACTTTTTAAAATGAGTAAAAAAACCATTATTTAATAAGCCCAGTAGTGGCTCTAATGGGATTATCTATTGAGTTTATATTTATGTTATATTTATCAGTGTATGTAATTTTTCACAAAAAAATTCAAAGGCTTACGTAATTTTTACGGACAAGACTGTCTTTGGGGTCTATTCTGTAACACATCCGTTAAAATCTAGAGGCCTTTAAAATTTTAGAGGCCAGAAAAATATTTTTAAAATCTAGATATGGCAGCTGAAATGGATTGCTCAAGTTCCTAATTGACCTGTGATGTAATCGAAATTCGGTTCAATCAAAATGTATCCACATAAAACGCCATTATTATCGGTTTCGTTAAAAATTGAAGGTAAATTTTAACATCCCTTTAAAAACGATAATTATTAGAGGATTATTTTAAAGGAATCCGTTTAAATAATGACAGTGACAAGTTAGTGAACACGAAAATATTTTTACTTTAACGGCCGTTGAAATATAAAGGTATTGTTACAGAATAGACCCCTAAGTCTGTCACAAAATACTTTAGAAATATTTTTTGTGAATCACTTATGTCTGAATAAAAGAAGAGAGGTGTAAAAGTAGGAATATAACGTCACATTCCATAGGCGTAGATTAAACTTAAACTCTTAACATTTGTAGATGCTTTAAATTAACTTTTATTTATTTCCAGGTGACCGTTTACAAAAATATCTAGCCAACAATCTTGGAGTGTTGGAGGCCAAAGAAATAGCTGCCAAATATTCCACTGAAGCCATGGCCAGAAGCTTTTTCGGCATAAATGCGCATTGTTTCGACGACGAAAACGCCATGTTCAGAGTATTGGGAAGGAAAATTTTTGATTTCAGTGTTAGAAACGGCCTCGTAAACACAGCCTACTTTTCAATGCAAAAATTGGTTAGACTGTTTCGCATTAATATATTCGAAAAATGGGTGTTTGAGTATTTTATTGATAGTTTTACGAAAGCATTTGAGGCAAGAGAAAATAGTACGACGCGCAAGAATGATTTTATTGATATCTTGATTGAATTAAACAAAAAGGATGGCGGAAATGGATTATTTGGTGAGTGAGTTAGCTATGTTTAAGACATGTTTCAAAACAATCTGTATAAAATAAACTAAATCACCCAACCATTTTAAAACTATACTATGCCATACAAAAAGGCTACACATATTTTTAAAATACATATTTTTTGAATTCATATAACTTATTCGAAACTTGTTTTCGTGTCTATAACACAAATTGAAATATTGAACAATTACGAATTAATGGGACACCCTGTATATGGATTACCGTCTCTCTAGTTTTCCGACATTGTCAACTACATAGGAGGATGCACAAAGGGCTTAGTGATTGTAGTGAAGCCTAAGTGCCATGGGTTAATCCACCCTCCATACTTTACAGATACTGTTTCTCTATTTTTATTCTCTATTTTAGATATGGACAAAATTAATGGTACCGGTCTGCAGTTTTTCGTGGCTGGATTTGAAACCACAAGTTCAACTATTTCGTATACCCTGCACGAATTATGCCTAAACAAGACTGTGCAGAATAAAGTGAGACAAGAAATCCTAGCCAACATGAAAGAAAATGATGGATTAACATACGAAGGCGTCATGGGAATGAAATATTTGGATATGTGTGTCAAAGGTATTGAATTCGCATTTAACAAAGTACCTAACTCGAAAAACAAAATTGGCAAAAAAGGAACACACTATTAATTTGATTGTTTTTGCGTTATGACAACTTGAATAAGAAATAAGACATACTCCTCCACAAATACGGCTATCATTACTAACATTGTACGATTACAACTCACCCAGCTAATACAAAATTCACAATAGCCACTAGTAACTTTTTGTCAGGTTGGTATCTTCATAAAATCGCTATGAAATTGCATCAAACATAAATGGAGACTACTCAAAACTAAACATGTTCACCCTTTCAGTCATATCTTTGCTCTACTCTGGGGGTTTTAGATATTCTTTTCAATCAGGTTTGGGTTCTAGCCTGTCTTTTCTCCTATAGATATGCGCAGTGATTACTAATTTCTTGCAGCAAACTTGCATAACATAAAACTAGCGTTATTATATGAAAAGCGACTTTTAGTTACCATTTTTTGTATATCTTTCATAGTAATAATATTTCCATAAAACAAACACAATTATGTACGATCTATATGCTCTTTCAACACTAATTTATCTTGTAGAGACACTCAGGAAATATCCAGCGGTACCATTTTTGGACAGAAAATGTGTAAACGAATGCAAATTACCCGGAACTGATTTAATATTAGAAAAAGGAGCATCAGTTTATATTCCGTTGGTCGGCTTGCACTATGACGAAAAATATTTTCCAGAACCGGACAAGTACGATCCAGAAAGATTTGCTAATCCAAAATGCAACAGCGAAGGGTTGGTTTATCTACCATTTGGAGAAGGACCAAGAATGTGTATAGGTAAGAACTAGAGAGACAGTAATTAGATTTCATCTATCAGATCTAGTATTTTAATTTGTCCCAGATCAAAACTGTAATATCTCAAAAGTTTTAGAATTTGTAATAAGAATGTATTGTTAGCAAGGATGACATGATCTGTACAGTTCAACACTAATATCCCAACAGATTTTGTAGAAGAAAATGTAGAAACAAAATTTTTTGCCATACTTTGCTTATTATCTCAAATCCTAAAATTTTTGAGATGTTATAGTTTTGAAATGGGACAGCGATATGTTTTACGCTATAACTATTATTTATTTATTACAAAAAGTAGATTCACATACATTCATATTCACATTAGTCACTTATTACCTAAAATTTTTCTTTTATATGACTTGCTAACATGGAGTTTACTAGGGCGTCTCGCTAAAGGCTCCAACAGAAGTCGGCCATCATCTGGCTATCCCATCGTCATATATCGTTCATCCTGATGCAATATTTCTGCCTGTTTTTCACTACAATCATCTAAATTTCCTGGAAACCGATCTAAATGGTTGTGGAGGTAATATATTTGTATGCTCATGTTACAAAATTTGAAATCATAGTTTCCACTATATAATTCATTATAATTCCCAAGAAAATATTGTACTACTTGAAGAAACGAACACCAAGAGTTATATCTATTTAAGTTAGGGTGTGGTTCAAAGCTCACTCGTACTGAAGTTCTAAGCTTATTGTATCCCTCACAGTTTCTACCCCATTAGAGTAATTTTCTTAACACCGGATTGTATGTCTTTTTCTCGAAAGTTCCCATCCATAACCAATCCGCCGCCACATCCAAATTCAAAATAATGTTTCATATCGACGGACTTATTCGCTTTTTTTTTGTCTATAACAATAAAAATCAGTTGCAAACAGATTTTTTTATTGTTATACGTCTGAAAGGAAATTACTTAATTGTCAGCAAAAAATGAAAAACTTCATCAATAAAAAAAACATTATTTTAAATTTGACAGGTGGCACAACAGCTCCCACTATCGGGACATATTGTTCACACCCCTCCCCTGTACCTACCATACAACATGACATGTCACTTTTGCAGTTAAGGAACCTTTTGCTACTACTCCTAGCTCACTGAAGAAAATGGTTTGATTGATTGTAGATATGAACATGTTTACGATTTATCAAAAAACTTGTAATAATAATTATGGAATTAATATTTAAATATGTATTTTTTTTTAGGCGAGAGACTAGGCATGTTAACGACGAAACTTGGAATTATTTCTGTCCTAACTAAATTTGAAGTCGAAAGATGTGCCCAGACACCCGATCCAGTAATATTTGAAGCAAAGAGTCTTGTTCTTCAATCCACAGTTGGCCTTCCAATGACATTTAAATATATCACTCCACCACCAGCTTGATACTCAATGGAATGTTCCACCGCTACATAACTAATATGTCGATTATATTAGTCTACTGCACGGATATAATTTCATATTTATTTTAGAATATCAATTTATGTGACAGTAAAATTATAAATTAAAATCAGTGGTAATTATTATTTTTAAATAATTATTCTTAATCTTAATAATTATTAAATTACATTTTAAAAATTTGTAAATTTTCTTAAGTGGATCGTAGAAAAAATATATTGTACATCTCGATTGGTTTATATTTTTGTTGTAGAAACTATAAGTAATAAAGCATTTGAAACGTTTGTTTGTTTAATTTTGATTATTTGGCAGAAAAGCGAAGAGTTATGGAAAATTTGTATTACTGCTGAAACTTATACGATTTTTTGATTATGGAACTACATTTTCATACAAAATACCTTGTCGCTTTTCTGCTATCCTGATACCAAAATTTTATTGGCGAAAGTTGATCTTTTCGAATTCGGTACTTTGTATCAGGATAATAGAAACGCGAGGAGATATCGAAATTTTTTATTTTGGCCATAACTTTTTTAATATTGCTGTTAGAAAAAAACTGAGTATATTTTTGAGATCTGCCTTCCAAATTTTTTGACAAAAAATTTTTTTGTCTCAGATCTTGATGAAAATTGGGGTACATATAAAAGAAAGCACTAGAAATTAAGGGGTGAACTCAGTTGCTCCCTATATATAAGGGTTAACTTTTTTTTAGTAATTCCTCAGTTTGTAATGATCGAATTATTTCATAAATTCACACAAAGATAGAGAAGGACGGATAGTTTAAAATGCCCTTTACAGCTTGCCTCTATCTTGTGCCGTTTAGTAGTTATTCACATTTACAAATAAGTCAAATACCTTGTCGCGTTTCTGCTATCCTAATACCAAAATTTTGTAGACAAAATTGGATCTTTTCGAATTCGGAACTTTGTATCAGGATAATAGAAACGCAAGGAGATATCGAAATTTTTTATTTTGGCCATAACTTTTTTAATATTGCTGTTAGAAAAAAACTAAGTATATTTTTGAGATCTGCATGTGACCCTCTATCCGTACGCAAATTTAAATTGTTTTTTATTTTTTGAAAAAAATCGAAAGGGTATAGCCTTCCAAATTTTTTGACAAAAAAATTTTTTGTCTCAGATTTTGATGAAAATTGGGGTACATATAAAAGAAAGCACTAGAAATTAAGGGGTGAACTCAGTTGCTCCCTATCTATAAGGGTTAACTTTTTTTTAGTAATTCCTCAGTTAGTAATGATCGAATTATTTCATAAATTCACACAAAGATAGAGAAGGACGGATAGTTTAAAATGCCCTTTACAGCTTGCCTCTATCTTGTGCCGTTTAGTAGTTATTCACATTTACAAATAAGTCAAATACCTTGTCGCGTTTCTGCTATCCTAATACCAAAATTTTGTAGACAAAATTGGATCTTTTCGAATTCGGAACTTTGTATCAGGATAATAGAAACGCGAGGAGATATCGAAATTTTTTATTTTGGCCATAACTTTTTTAATATTGCTGTTAGAAAAAAACTAAGTATATTTTTGAGATCTGCATGTGACCCTCTATCCGTACGCAAATTTAAATTGTTTTTTATTTTTTGAAAAAAATCGAAAGGGTATAGCCTTCCAAATTTTTTGACAAAAAATTTTTTTGTCTCAGATCTTGATGAAAATTGGGGTACATATAAAAGAAAGCACTAGAAATTAAGGGGTGAACTCAGTTGCTCCCTATATATAAGGGTTAACTTTTTTTTAGTAATTCCTCAGTTAGTAATGATCGAATTATTTCATAAATTCACACAAAGATAGAGAAGGACGGATAGTTTAAAATGCCCTTTACAGCTTGCCTCTATCTTGTGCCGTTTAGTAGTTATTCACATTTACAAATAAGTCAAATACCTTGTCGCGTTTCTGCTATCCTAATACCAAAATTTTGTAGACAAAATTGGATCTTTTCGAATTCGGAACTTTGTATCAGGATAATAGAAACGCAAGGAGATATCGAAATTTTTTATTTTGGCCATAACTTTTTTAATATTGCTGTTAGAAAAAAACTAAGTATATTTTTGAGATCTGCATGTGACCCTCTATCCGTACGCAAATTTAAATTGTTTTTTATTTTTTGAAAAAAATCGAAAGGGTATAGCCTTCCAAATTTTTTGACAAAAAAATTTTTTGTCTCAGATTTTGATGAAAATTGGGGTACATATAAAAGAAAGCACTAGAAATTAAGGGGTGAACTCAGTTGCTCCCTATCTATAAGGGTTAACTTTTTTTTAGTAATTCCTCAGTTAGTAATGATCGAATTATTTCATAAATTCACACAAAGATAGAGAAGGACGGATAGTTTAAAATGCCCTTTACAGCTTGCCTCTATCTTGTGCCGTTTAGTAGTTATTCACATTTACAAATAAGTCAAATACCTTGTCGCGTTTCTGCTATCCTAATACCAAAATTTTGTAGACAAAATTGGATCTTTTCGAATTCGGAACTTTGTATCAGGATAATAGAAACGCGAGGAGATATCGAAATTTTTTATTTTGGCCATAACTTTTTTAATATTGCTGTTAGAAAAAAACTAAGTATATTTTTGAGATCTGCATGTGACCCTCTATCCGTACGCAAATTTAAATTGTTTTTTATTTTTTGAAAAAAATCGAAAGGGTATAGCCTTCCAAATTTTTTGACAAAAAATTTTTTTGTCTCAGATCTTGATGAAAATTGGGGTACATATAAAAGAAAGCACTAGAAATTAAGGGGTGAACTCAGTTGCTCCCTATATATAAGGGTTAACTTTTTTTTAGTAATTCCTCAGTTAGTAATGATCGAATTATTTCATAAATTCACACAAAGATAGAGAAGGACGGATAGTTTAAAATGCCCTTTACAGCTTGCCTCTATCTTGTGCCGTTTAGTAGTTATTCACATTTACAAATAAGTCAAATACCTTGTCGCGTTTCTGCTATCCTAATACCAAAATTTTGTAGACAAAATTGGATCTTTTCGAATTCGGAACTTTGTATCAGGATAATAGAAACGCGAGGAGATATCGAAATTTTTTATTTTGGCCATAACTTTTTTAATATTGCTGTTAGAAAAAAACTAAGTATATTTTTGAGATCTGCATGTGACCCTCTATCCGTACGCAAATTTAAATTGTTTTTTATTTTTTGAAAAAAATCGAAAGGGTATAGCCTTCCAAATTTTTTGACAAAAAATTTTTTTGTCTCAGATCTTGATGAAAATTGGGGTACATATAAAAGAAAGCACTAGAAATTAAGGGGTGAACTCAGTTGCTCCCTATATATAAGGGTTAACTTTTTTTTAGTAATTCCTCAGTTAGTAATGATCGAATTATTTCATAAATTCACACAAAGATAGAGAAGGACGGATAGTTTAAAATGCCCTTTACAGCTTGCCTCTATCTTGTGCCGTTTAGTAGTTATTCACATTTACAAATAAGTCAAATACCTTGTCGCGTTTCTGCTATCCTAATACCAAAATTTTGTAGACAAAATTGGATCTTTTCGAATTCGGAACTTTGTATCAGGATAATAGAAACGCAAGGAGATATCGAAATTTTTTATTTTGGCCATAACTTTTTTAATATTGCTGTTAGAAAAAAACTAAGTATATTTTTGAGATCTGCATGTGACCCTCTATCCGTACGCAAATTTAAATTGTTTTTTATTTTTTGAAAAAAATCGAAAGGGTATAGCCTTCCAAATTTTTTGACAAAAAAATTTTTTGTCTCAGATTTTGATGAAAATTGGGGTACATATAAAAGAAAGCACTAGAAATTAAGGGGTGAACTCAGTTGCTCCCTATCTATAAGGGTTAACTTTTTTTTAGTAATTCCTCAGTTAGTAATGATCGAATTATTTCATAAATTCACACAAAGATAGAGAAGGACGGATAGTTTAAAATGCCCTTTACAGCTTGCCTCTATCTTGTGCCGTTTAGTAGTTATTCACATTTACAAATAAGTCAAATACCTTGTCGCGTTTCTGCTATCCTAATACCAAAATTTTGTAGACAAAATTGGATCTTTTCGAATTCGGAACTTTGTATCAGGATAATAGAAACGCGAGGAGATATCGAAATTTTTTATTTTGGCCATAACTTTTTTAATATTGCTGTTAGAAAAAAACTAAGTATATTTTTGAGATCTGCATGTGACCCTCTATCCGTACGCAAATTTAAATTGTTTTTTATTTTTTGAAAAAAATCGAAAGGGTATAGCCTTCCAAATTTTTTGACAAAAAATTTTTTTGTCTCAGATCTTGATGAAAATTGGGGTACATATAAAAGAAAGCACTAGAAATTAAGGGGTGAACTCAGTTGCTCCCTATATATAAGGGTTAACTTTTTTTTAGTAATTCCTCAGTTAGTAATGATCGAATTATTTCATAAATTCACACAAAGATAGAGAAGGACGGATAGTTTAAAATGCCCTTTACAGCTTGCCTCTATCTTGTGCCGTTTAGTAGTTATTCACATTTACAAATAAGTCAAATACCTTGTCGCGTTTCTGCTATCCTAATACCAAAATTTTGTAGACAAAATTGGATCTTTTCGAATTCGGAACTTTGTATCAGGATAATAGAAACGCAAGGAGATATCGAAATTTTTTATTTTGGCCATAACTTTTTTAATATTGCTGTTAGAAAAAAACTAAGTATATTTTTGAGATCTGCATGTGACCCTCTATCCGTACGCAAATTTAAATTGTTTTTTATTTTTTGAAAAAAATCGAAAGGGTATAGCCTTCCAAATTTTTTGACAAAAAAATTTTTTGTCTCAGATTTTGATGAAAATTGGGGTACATATAAAAGAAAGCACTAGAAATTAAGGGGTGAACTCAGTTGCTCCCTATCTATAAGGGTTAACTTTTTTTTAGTAATTCCTCAGTTAGTAATGATCGAATTATTTCATAAATTCACACAAAGATAGAGAAGGACGGATAGTTTAAAATGCCCTTTACAGC